AGTAACTTGTCTGATGGTAGATGGTGAGTCAGTGGCAGAGATGGGAATAGGAGCTTGTAAATCCTGACTCCCAGGCTCTGCCTTAACCACAGGCTAATCCTAACTCTCTTCTTGTGACTCCTGCTGCCCTGATTTTCTTTCTGTAGGCTTGTGGTTGCAGTAGAGGAGGCTTTCACTCATATCAAACGTCTCCAGGCAGAGGAACAGCAGAAAGCTCCAGGAGAGATGATGGATCCCCGAGAAGCAGCTCAGGCAATCTTCCCCTCGATGGCAAGAGCTTTGCAGAAGTACCTCCGCACCACCCGTCAGCAGCAGTACCACAGCATGGAGAGCATCCTGCAACACTTGTCCTTCTGCATCACCAACAACATGACACCAAAGGTAACGCTTTCTCTAATGGTGCCAGCGGGAGGGAGGAACGGATAGCAAATCTGTGCATGTCCACAGAGCAGAGAGCATTGTGGGGGGCAGCAAGCAGAAGTTTTTGTAGTTGTGAGCTGTGATATGACCAGTGCACTGTGGATTGCTTCAGTTCTTAAGGGGAAGTGATGTTTCCTCTAAAGCACTTTCTGCCTTTTCTTAGCCTCTGAGGTAACTAGCTATTTGTTCTCACATCCAGTTCAGCACAGGAGTATCAAAGGGGTATCAAAAAGTCCAGAGCAGGGGTCTGGAGTCTTGGGGAGTTCTCCAAGCCTGGTTCATGGCAGCAGTGCAGTGCAGAGGGCAGCTTGCCAAGGGCCACTTTTTCCCCCTCCTCTGCAGCGCTGCCTCTTGGACTGCTGCTAATTATAGAGTTAGTATCTGTATCCCAGCCTAAACTCCTGTCTGTTTGACAGTGTTTCTGACTTGTGGGCTGCCTAGTCAAATATCTGTTCCTTGCTTCATGCTCGGACTGTGACTGTTGAATTGCAGACACTGGGAAGGAAATGAGCCTTATAAATGGCCTAGTTTTTCCTTTTTGTTTGTTTGTTTCTTTTTTTAAAAAAAAAAAAAAAAAAAGCCACAATACCACAACCACCGTCCCAGAGAATGCAACCCAAAGGCAGAAATGCAGGAATTTACTCTTGTGTCCAGGAGCAGAGATGCCATGATGAGACACGGATTAGCACTTTACTGGAATTTGTCCAGGAATCTGCCCTGATTTGCAAGGGCCAGTTCTGCAACCCGTAATACACAAGAGACATCAAACAACGCTTCCCGTCCCGTTCTTGTCGAGGCGGGCTGGGCTGCAGAGGAGGAAAACCTCAGCTTTCCACCCTCGATTGGGCTGGGCATGGGCTGTTACAGAGGTGTCCGCCCTGTGGAAATGCTGCTGTTTTCAAAGTCCTGCTTGGAGGGCAGTGCTGAAGGTGAAAGTCAGGGCTGTGGCTTGTCCAACTTGGCTGGGATGGAGCAAAATAGGACCTCTAGCTATTGATGTGCTTGGTCTTCGGGTCTGAAATATTGGGGAGGAAAGGGGGAAAGGGCACCTCCTGAATCACAGGAGCTGAAATGATTTCAAGCCTGGCCCACCAGTGCTCACATAGCTGTAACTCGCCAATTGAAAGAGAGCATCGAGGCATTCAGAGTCATGGGGCTGCTGTTCCCCAGGCGT